TCCGGAGTTTTCTGTGTACAGGGGAACAGATAAACAGAAAAGCCTGTCCCTGGCCTCCAGGATCCCAGGTTAGAGCCAATAACTGTGGGGAATGAGGAAGAGGTGCAGTCTGAAGCTTTTCCCAGAGGAACAGCTTTTGTTCCTGGGCTCAGTCTGGGGTAGGGCTTTGCCGGTTGGCTCCCACATGGTATCAATGGCATAATGCCATCTTTCCATAGAATCTGGCAGCTGCCTGCATCCGGTCAGCCCTGGGGGGCAACAAGCCGAGAGCACAGTCAGCCTCTTTACCTAGAAAAACCCCATTCCAATGGGTTTAACAAGGCAGCTTGGGCCCAGAGCTTGCGAAGTTTCCCTCCCCAGGCCAGGACTGCCACCTGCCCTCATGGAAGCACAGAGGGTGAAATCAGGGTGCGTTCCTCAGGCTGACCTAAGCCTTCTGCACATAGTCCTGTCCAGCATTCCTCTGGGCACCCCAAGAACCAAGTAGGGTGCTCTCCCAGGGGGTGAGGGCCCATGACTGGTGTGCTCTTTATAACCGCCATGATTGGAGGCATTCCCAAACATCATTCTCTCACCGACTACAAAGAACTCTTGTTCATGTCAGCAAAGGAATGTGCCAGTCGATTTAGAGATAAGCCTTACCTTCTAGAGTGTTCCAAGCCCCGGGTGTCTGGGCGTGAGGTCAGGGTGTGAGCAGAGGTGAAGGGAACTTGACTTCTAGAAGCGCCTGCCGTGGGGCTCCTGCATGCACCTGGCCTCTCGTCTCAGGGCCCCCTTTATTGGATCCACCCTATATAGACCTAAGGGAATCCTCAGCATCTCCTCCCACTCATCTTCACACACGCTCCAGGGGCAACGTCAGTGCACAGGCCCAGCCCTGGCCCAGTTAGGATACTGGAGCTTGTTAGGTGGGAAGGAGTCCGGCCAGCTCTCCTCATGGTCATGCCTGAGTCAGGGATGAGCCGAGGGCAGTCTGAGTCAAGTTTGCCACTTAAAGCAGATGCAGTGAGCAAATCGTGTGTAAGACAAGGCTTCCCAGGGCTTGGGAGTCTGGAACGTGCAGGGCCAGGGAGCCACACAGGACTCAGCTGCTCTTCTGGTTCTGCCTCAGGCTAGATGGGTGACAGGACCACTTTTTTGACCTCTTAGGACCTCCATTTGCTTCCCCAAAAAACAAAGGTAAAAATATCGCAATACACACTAAACTGCATGAGGGCAGAGACCTTGCATGCCTTGTTGGCTACTGCGGGTCAGTATCTAGAAGAGTTTCTGATACACCACTGGTGCCTGATAAACACTCATTAGTAAACAGATGAGTAAACAGATTAGTAAACATCTGCCAGGCGGGGCAGATGGGAGGATTACATCAGACAACCTGTTTGAATCGTTTAACCCGGTGTCTGGCACATGGTTGGGACCCAGTAGGTGTTAGTACCTGGTAACAACCTGTTTTCTGCTCCACCCACCATGGCCAAGTCAAAGGCTCCACAGGTCCTGAGTTTATTCCTGAAAAGAAGAGGCATTGGCTGACACACAGCCAGAAAATATAAGCCACCTCATTGCAGTTCACCCCCAGACAGTGTGGATGAGGATGAAGCTGGAAAAAATCAAAAGGCCGTCAAATTCAGCTCAAAGTACACTTTTTGCCTTAGTCTCCAACCAGGAGGCTGGTGGGGGCATTGCTTTGTTCCCCTTCCCTGCTCTGGACAAAGTCCTTGCACACAGCTTGGGTTGGCTGCTCAGCTACTCGGATCCTGTGGCCCAGAGCCAAGGACATACACACCTGGCTCTTCTGCTGGGACGGCAGCTCTCCCTGACTGCCCCTGTGAGAGCCAAACTAGCTCCATTTTGTTGTTTACGGCACAAGCCACAG